TCTAAAATAAAAATTTAACTACATAAATTTTGCCTCCAAGTGTCTTCACTCTTCGATCCTTTTATCATTTGGAGGTGGAGGGAATATATGTGGTGAGAGCAGCAGGAAGACTGACAAAACATTGTAGCTCATCTCATCTCTTTTGTCAAAGTGGAAAGTTCTATCCAGCTGTAATCAAGTCTACCTTGCAGTTCTAGTTGCAGGCAGGAAAATGCATCATCAAAAATGCAAGCAGTTAGTTCCATGATAGCTTTCAAGGGAGTGTGTGTCGTTCAAGCGTTCTGTGTCTGCTGGGGGAGAGCCTGCCTCTTGCATTCATTCACTTAAGGTATTAATTTGTTTAAATGCAGGTCAGGTGATCACTGCCAGTATTGCAGATATCATTGCAAATTACTCGTTCAAGGATATTCTAAGGAAACTGGCTGGTGAAAAACAGACCGACGTGGCACCAGCTTCCTATGATGATACTTACCTTGGTAAGATCCATTGCTCAAAATGTTTGTGGTTTCTCAGAAGACAAGCATATTAAATGTAGGTGCAAATTTTATTCCTGACTTATCTGATGTTATTTGGCATCTTATGCAAATTTTCCTTTCCTTGTTAATTTAGAGTTGACTTTTTTTTCCTTTTTAAATATGCTATTATTTCAGCCATGATGTAAACCTACAGAATTTGAGCAGCTCTTTTGTAGGCTCTATAACAGTCTGTTGCACGTAAAATGTTTCACCAGTAGTAGACATTATATGTTAGTGGTGCTGCTACCAATGCTACAGGGACAACATCATAGCACCCCTCTCCAGTTCCAGAGCAGCACAAGAGGTTTTCCTGTTGCTAGAATATTCTCAAAATTCATTATGTGCAAACCACACAATGTTATTTCATCACTACTGTTCCCTATCTTTGGTATCCTAGTGGGATTTTGATTGCTTGATGAATTCAAAACAAAAAAAGCCATGTAGCTATGTTTGTTACTATAGCTGGCACCTCACTTTAGAACTGAGTGAAATTTGTGGAAACCATCATTAAAGGAATTAAGAAGTGAGCCTTATTGGTGATCAGAACTAGCAAACTGAAAGGGTATCTTTCTGAGTAGCTTGTCTGATCAGAATGAATCAGCAGCTCTTAAAATGCAATAGCTTCTATTTACACTTAAAGGTGGATTATTCAGTATTGATGCTTTTAAAATCAGCGCCACAATTTGATTTTTTTTTTTTTTGCCAAACTCCTATTTAAGATCAGTAGTAGCAGATTTATTTATGAAAGTGTTTATATTGGTGTGATTAATTTTTACCTTTATTACCTTTTATTTTATAATGTGTGTAGAGATTTCTAAATAAAGCAGTAGCACAGTAGTCCCTTTGTTTTTTCTAGATAAAACTTATTTATTAAGTTATCAAGCATGGTTAGCTTGTTTCTTTTGTTGAAAACAGGATACTCAGTTGCTGCTGGGGAATTTACTGGAGATTCTCAGCAAGGTGAGAGACACATTGAATTTAAGTCATTTATAAAGCATGGGGGGAAAGGTAAAATGACATAAAAAGTTCTTTTATCAATGTGATTTTCTTTGCAATACAAAATGTATATTCATGGAATCCCAAAATGTCTATAAAAATATTTCATGGGGAAAAAAATACACTTTGGCGTAGCATTTTATTTTTAAGCCCCAAAGAATTTTATAAGAATGAATATCTTTATGAAGTCTAGTTAAGCAAGAAAAATTATAACAG